AAGTTACTGATCGTATTATACCATCATTTTCCGGGTGTAGTTCAGTTATTCTTCCTAGCTTCCATTTAAGCCGTGGAAGTCCATCTTCTTCAACGACAATCAATGTACCAATCTTCAAATTTTGCTGGAAGTTTTGTTTCCACTTGACTCGTTCTTGTAAGGTCGATATATATTCAATGGACCATCGTGACCAAAAATGTTGCAGTAACTTTTGCAATCTTTCAAATCTAGAGAGTCGGTTCTCGTTTATTTTATTATAGTCAGGAGTTAAAGGAGTTGGATCATTGAGATCCTGTGAAAGTGGGCAAAGTGGCCTGGAATTGAGGCAAGCTTCAATTTGGTATAAAAGTGTTGTAAAGTCCTCGTAAGTCAGAGAAACCTCTCCTATGACTCGTTTCATTCGTTGCTTTACAGACTTGACGCCTGCTTCCCATAACCCCCCTTGATGTGGTGCGCGTGGTGTGATAAACCTCCATTGAATGCCGTCATTCAATAAAGCAGTATGAATTTTACATTCATTTTCCATGAAAAATCGTTGAATTTCATTATTTGCACCAACATAAGTACTACCATTATCTGAATGTATTTCAAGAGGTTTGCCACGTCTTGACATAAAACGGCGTAATGAAGCTAAAAAACACTCAGTGGTAAGATCTGTCACCACTTCAAGATGGATTGCCTTTGTAGAGAAACAAACAAATAATGAAATGTAACATTTTGTTAATTTGAAATTTCTACCCTTTCTATCTCGAAGCAAAAAAGGACCCGCATAATCAGCTCCACAAATAAAAAATGGTCTGGCAGGCTTAACCCGTTTTTCGGGAAGATTACCCATAAGATGAACTTCAGGTTTCGCATTGACTCTGAAACAACTCATGCACTCGTGAATAACTTTTCGAATGAGATTACGACCAGATAAAGGCTAAAAACGTTCTCAAATTGAGGCTAAAAGTTGTTGTTGACCGCAATGGAGTAATCGTAAATGTTCATAACGTGCAATTAAAACGGTAAAATGGTGACTGCCAGATAGAATAGCAGGGTGATTTTTCAGATAGTTAAATTTTGAATTGTTCAAGCGTCCACCTACGCGTATGATTTGATGAGTTTGGTCAAAGAATGGGTTTAAGCTTAAAAGTTTACTTTTTTTGTCTAGTGGTTTTGAATTAATCAATCTGTTATATTTGTCAGGAAAACATTCAATTTGAACCATTTTAATTAAAAAATTTATTGATTTGTTTAAATCCTGTTCTGTTAGTTGTCTTCCAGAAATACGCAAATGCTTTAAGTTTCTGCAATTTCCTATAAAACGTAGTACGTAAGCAAGATTGCGCTGCAAACAACCAAAATCTGAAAACCTAGAAATATATTCAGAGAAATCTTTAGTTAAACTGGTGAGACAGGTCACAGAAATGGTGCGCAACTCTGGCAGAGTCGATTTTTTAATTTGGACTGGATATTCGGGCCATTCAGCCTCTGGCAAAACTAACCAATGGGGTCCATGGAACCATTTATTTGAATTTATCAAAGTGTTGGGATCTATGTGGCAGACAGCTAAGTTAAAGCAAAAGAAAATTTTTGGCAACAAAAACTCGATATCCGAAATTGTTAAACATACGGCGTTTATTCTTAGGAGGGCAGTATAGGTACCTCTTGATAAAAGGTCTGATGGGTTATCTAACGTATTGATATATTTCCAGTCCTTAGAATTAGTAAGCGTTTGAATTTGTGATACACGATTTGCAACGAAAATTTTGAGTTCATGAGGTGATGTATTTATCCATGAAATCGCAATAGTTGAGTCACACCAGTAAACGGTTTTAGAAATGTTGATATTTATTGCTCCTTTCACTCTCTCAACCAGTTCGCTAAGCAAAAGGCGCCCAGATAATTCTAGTCTTGGTATTGTGATAGTCTTAATGGGAGAAATTCTTGTTTTTGCACAAAAAAGATTGGAAACGCAATTTCCAAAGCTATCTGTACATCTTATAAATACTGAAGCGCCGTATGCTGCTTCAGAGGCATCAGAAAAACCGTGTATTTGAATTGTTAAGCAATTAGCAGTTAAATCATGTCTCGGGATTTTAAAGTTATTAAGAATTGGCAACTGTGATTTATAATTTGACCAAATAGTGTATAAGTCAGTAGGAATCGACTCGTCCCAAGATATTTTTAATTTCCAAAGTTTTTGTATAATAATTTTAGCTGTAACAGTTACCGGAGAAAGAAGGCCTAAAGGGTCAAAAATTTGCGAAATGGAACTCAAAATTAATCTTTTTGATATTTTCCTCGAAGTGTCTAATAACGTGATTTTGTATTCCAGAGTATCGCTGAATGCATTCCAGACTAAACCCAAAGTTTTTTGTTCCTGGTCAGTACCAAGTTGTACAATATTTGATTCGTCATTACTTTGCATCAAAGTTTCGTCATTAGATTTCCACTTTCTAAGATAGAAACCATATTTTTGTAATAAATTTGAAAGTGTCGGTTTTATTTCTTTTACTTCCTCAGAGGATTTTCCTCCAGTTAAAAGGTCGTTAACATAAAAATCTTTAAGAATTATTGAAGCTATTTCAGGATGAGTTGTCAAATTTTGATAAGCAACTTCATGTAAAGCGCGAATAGCTAAAAAAGCTGATGAAACCAAGCCATAAGTTACAGTATTGAGAGTATATGATTTAATTTCATCGTCGGGATTGAAACGCCATAAAATTTTTTGGAAATTACGTTGACTTTCATTTAAATATACATAGCGGTACATTTTCGCAATATCTGCTCCCAAAACCACATTGTGAATACGAAAACGTAGCAAAATGTTAAATAAAAAATCTTGTATAGTGGGGCCAGTAAGCATTAAGTCATTAACTGAAACTCCAGACGTGGTAGGAGCACTACCGTGGAATACAACTCTTAATTTAGTCGTTGTTGAAGTTTCTTTAAAAACAGAATGATGTGGCAAGAAAAAACCAGAATTATCCTGCGAATCAGCAAGGGACATATGATTCAAATCAATATATTCCTGTATAAAACTATGATACTGTTGTTTTGTGTTCAGATTTTTCTCAAGCTTTCGTTCCAAAGATAAAAACTGATTTGTGGCATTAGTTTTTGAATCTCCCAGACAGGAAAGTGATTGTTTAAGCGGCATTGAAACGGTAAAACTGCCATCTGGGTTTTGAAAAGTAGTATCTTTAAAATGTTTTTCACAAAAAAAATCGTCTTCTGAGATGTATTTAGTTTTAGGATATTCTTCTAGACTCCAAAATTTTGTCAACTGTCTGTCAATGTCAATAGACGATAAGTAACAGTTGGTTTGATTTTCAAAGTCATTACTCAAGATGGTACCTAAGCAAGTTTGTTGTTTCTGAGGTATTGAAATTGGTCCAGAAATTATCCAACCAAGTTTGGTTTTTTGTGAAATAGGGCAATTTTTGCCAATTTTTATTTGGCCGATGCATAACAAGTCCCAAAATAGATCTGCACCAATAAACAAATCGATTGTGGTAGACTGGAAAAAGTCATGATCAGCAAGTGAAATATTTTGAGGTATGTTCAAAAATTGTGGGTCAAAACTAAATGATGGTAAGTTTCCTGTTATGCCTGGAAACACTAGGCAGTGAAGTTGGGCTTGAAAATTGTTGAATCGTGACTTTATGTTAACAGAAACACTACACTTAATTTTGTGATTTGACTGACCTATACCAGAAACTGACATGTTTGTTTTTGTTTTTGGAAGTTGTAAAATATCACAAAGTCGTTGACTTATAAAGTTACTTTGACTTCCATTGTCCAGTAAAACTCTACAGTCATGTAGGTTGCCTTGAACATCATATATTTTGACAATGGCAGTCGACAATAAACTTGATTTTTCGTTAGTAGAATTAGTAAATAAACTTGTATGTGTATGGTGTGCTTGTGTATCTTTTTCAGTGACTTGTGAATTATCAGAACTTGTTTCATCTTGTTTTGTTATTGTAGATGCCGCATGGTTTGTAAGATTGGGTGAATGAGGTATGTTTGATGTTGAATTTTGAAAATGCAAAAACGTGTGATGCATGCCAGAACACTTACGACACCCAGGGGATCTACATTCTTTTGTCGCGTGATTATCACCTAAGCAGTTTATACATAGACGCATTCGTCTTGCATTGTTTAATTTTTCAAAGGCGTTTAATTTAAAAAAAAACCCACACGTATAAATTGTGTGACCTGTAGTATGACACATTGGACATTTTTTGACCTCAGCAACATGGCCTTTGGTGGAAAATTCTTTTTTGTGGAATGGGGTTTTTGGGTAGGACGGTTTTTGAGTTGAAAAAATATCTTTTGTATTTGCGTTTAAAGATTGTAAAATTCGACATTTTTCTTTTAAAAAATCAATTAAATCCTTTTGTGTAGGAATGTTAGTAAAATTTCCCCTTGCCTCCCATGCGCGGCGTGTGCTGCTGTCAAATTTGTTTGTAATTAAATAAATCAAAAGATCGTCCCATTGATCAGTGGGTCGTCCAAGAACCTGTAAAGCTCTTAAATGCTTCTGCAATCCATCCAGTAGTTGTCGCAAACCGTCATATGACTCTTTCTGTAAAACTGGCAAGTTAAAAATCGATTTAATGTGAAAATTAATCAAAAGCTGTTTATTTTCGTATCTCTCCTCTAGTAAGGACCAGGCAACGTTACAATTATTGTCAGAACATTGTAGTGACTGTATGACGTCAGCAGCGTCGCCCTTTAATGCTAGGCGCAAATAATGAAATTTTCGTACATTAGATATATTTTTACTGTGTACGATTGAAGTAAAAGTATCACGAAAATTCAGCCATTGGTCTAGTGACCCGTCAAATGTCGGTACATTCAATGAAGGTAAGTTATCCTCCGGGAATTGCACAGTGTTGCCAAGTTGAGTAGCATTGGGATTCATATTATTTACTGGTAAATACGATTTTGATTGTAGAAACTGTTTAACAGCTGAAATTGTTCGATAATATTGTGTTTCAAAAGCTTACCGTTCAGGCTCGTAAATTCTGACATAATTTACATCAAAATCGTCGTCTAACAGTTCAATAGTTTGCTGTATAACCTCGTATTCATCCAATGCAGGCTCAGCCTTGATTAACCTACTGCGCAACTCCTCTAAGTTTAACGTATTGCTCGTAAGATCCAATGCATTGAAGTACGTTTCAAATCGTGTAAAAGCCTGTTTTAAAATTTTTCGCATCCTTTTTTCGTGTTTCAATTCATCAGGCATTTTTCAAAATAGATGAGTAGGTATTAAATTTTAGAATAAATAGTCGTCAAATCCGTAAAACTTCAAATAAACTTGTCAAAAAGTTGGAAATTGCTTGTTCTGGTTGTCTAGTAACGTCAAAATTCTAAAAATGGCAAAATACTAACTTTGTTGCTTGTAAAAATAAATAAAATTGTTAAATAAACAGCTTAGTAGCTTGTACAATCGTTTAAAATTGTGAAAGGTGGAATAGTGGCGTAAAGCTTGTAAAAAAATTAGTTAAAAATGCAGATTAAAATTGTCAAAATACCAAATTTCGGCTTTGGGAAGTACCAAAAGGAACACACTACCTTATTTGTTTTTGAATTCCTGTTAAAACCAAAATGCAGGCACTATGGTGTTTGTTTTGTATAAAAATCCAATCCAATGTTCTTGTCAATCAACAATATTTTAGTTTTGTTCACAAATTGTTCATAATTTCTTGAAAATGTTCATAAAAATAGTCTAAAATCGTTAAAATGAACAAAGTTAATTAAAAAACACCTTACGCGGGCTTCTGTTCTGCACGTCCAAGCTCCAAACTCGCATGTTTCTGTGCAGATTATCAAGTATCCAAAGGTTCAAAGGTTGTCCAAAAACTGGTAATATCCGTGCTGTCGAAGGACCAAATGTTGTGTAAGCGGGTTGGAAAACCTACTAGTGAAGATTTTTAAGCATTTCACTTTATTTTCTTGTGTTATCAATTGAATCAGACGAGACGTACATAAGTGTATCAAATTTTTTTTTAGGCGACTGTCACAAAAAGATTAGTTTTACGGATTCAATATCATCCCTAAAGTATATCTTTTTTGGCCGCATTTACTTTACGGCCGCATTTACTTCACGGCCGCATTTGCTTTATTACTTTACGGCCGCTTTTACTTCACGGCCGCTTTTACTTTACGGACGCTACTTTGGTGAAAATAAACAAACAATCGGAAACGCAGTGCCGTAACCATCAACACAACTAATAAACAATTAGTTAGCAACCACAATGAAACGAAGTTTTTAATTTTAGCTCTATCCAAATTTCCACATAAAATGCTAAAAAAAACGGCATGATTAAAAATTTGGGAGAAGTATTTTCTTGCATTTTTTTCGGAAAATGCCAAAATTAAATAATCCTCAACGTTATGGTCTTCAGGTCCACCTATGTTATACTCTTTGTTAAAATTTACAATTAGTCGGAAATACTTAACATATCAGCAAGTTTTCAAAATTGATTGCTTTTTTGAAAAAGCTCAATGTAAGATACCAGGCGAAAAAGTCGGCAATTTTCTATAATCACACTCTCTTTATCGTAGTTTTTGTTATTAATAATTGTGTATCTACCTATCTTGGCTAGATTATTTATTTGATCAATAAAGTTTAAAGCTACTGTTGAATTTTCTTCTTTTTTCAAGAACAAATACTCGCCTAAAAAATTTTGTGTGCACCTCGGCCGAATGATCTTTTTTGGCCTCACCTGAAATTTGCTTGGCCTCGGCTGTGCCTCGGCCGCAAATTTCTGATTCGGCCAAAAAAGATCAACTTTACGGCCTTGGTACACAAATAACTATTTTTATAATCATAATAATAATTTTTTAGTTGCGTAGCAATCGTCTAACAAAGAAAAAACTTACAAACTAGATTCAAAATAAAAAAAAAATGCTGCTCATCATTCAATGTCAATGTCTCTTCTTTGCCGACTGTTGCTAACTGTCTCTATTGAAAAAGTCGAATTGACATTGATGGTTGGGATTTAAAGTTCAATTCATAAGCGGCGCAAACAAGAGTGTATTTTTCTCAATTTGGTTTTTAAAAATTGCTATTCACTTTCTCATAAACACTTTTTCGAAAGAGCTACTGTACGTAACTTTTGAATATCAGGATTTCAAATCAAGTTACTTATAAAAAAAATGGAAAAATGTTGAAAACAAGGAAAACAGACGATTGGATAAAGAGATTTTCTATTGAAAAGACATAGATACTTTTTTGCTGTTGAATGATTCAATGGATGAGACCTATTGGTTAGAAGGAGTTATCAGAAATTCTACCAGGATTCAATTGTACCATCAGAGAAAGATAGACTAGACTCTCTTAAAAGACCTGAATCATAAAAAATTCAATAATCTGGTGGAAGAATGAAGAATATCACAAAAAAATCCAGGTTAGCAGCGTTACCACCTTTGGTAAATTTCTACTTTTCTAGCAGATTTTCAGCGTTTTCTGTAAAATTTTAGTAGACATAATTTCTAGTAGAAAATCTAGTAGATTCTGGTAGTTTTCACTTTGTTACATTCAGTTCCATAAAACATGATAAAAATCCTAATATCGATTGTGGAAAAATTAATTCAAATCGAAAAAGGGAACAGTATGCCCATGCATTTTAGTGCGGTCCACGCTGCTTTCAGAAAAGGTGAGCCGTAAGAGCTTGGTAAGGGCCGGTTTCAATAGCAGGTTAAGTTAATTCCAGGGTTAAGGATAACTCCAGGGTGAACATAGAAACTGGACACGCTTACCCTGGAGCTAAGACAAACCCGGAGGTAACTCGCTATTGAGAAACCGGCCCTAAGGTTAGTAAATAAGTTACTTCGTTCTGAATAGTTTGATTCACGGCGCGTTTGGGTTTTCGGTGTTTCTCCTTAATGGCGCTAATATATTGTCATCTTTTTTCAATGACGCTCTGAAGAACAAGACGGAAATACATTCTCATCAGAAATTAATATCGCTATGACAGACTACGACTGTAGCTACTCCCAATTCCCTAATATTTTCCAACTTTCTCATTAAATAAATTACGTACATTTTTCATACGTATTGTCACAACCCCTATACGTTTCATCCTAGGACGTCACAACAGGAACGTGACCTGGGGGCTAGAGAGAAACTTGTTTGTATAGATACAATAAGATAATGTATTGAATAATAATAATATTACCCTAGAAATAATATCATGACGTCTCTTCTACGGAGGCACGTACTACTTATAGGCCACTCTGTATTATGTACCCTCTGTACACTTGGCGCGAGTGAAGACTGAAACTAGGGTCGAGACAGGTCCAGAAGGGCGTTTCCCAATAAAGGTAGTTTGCACTGGACCTAGTCTGCTGCGTTCAATAATCCGAGAAGGGCGTTTCCCATTAAAGGTAGTTTGCACTGGGAGGAGACTTAGCTAGAGGGGCTTTTCCCATTTGAGGTACTCTGCACTAGCCTTAGTCTGCCGGTAATGGATTTCGGCACTGTATTTATACCAAATAAATACTGACTCGTCGACACACTTTGGTGAAATTGATCTTCAGAGTGGTATTTACTTAAGTAGTTGACAATATGATATAGATTAAGAGTAGATTGTTGGTATTTTTCAAAATTGCTTCAGTAAATTTTCAGTAGATTCAGACAAAGAAGCTAGTAGATTCGCTAAAAAAAAGGTGGCAACGCTGCAGGTTAGATTTTATGAGAATTTGCTCAGAATTGATTAGACGAAATCATAATTCCTCAAAATTTCAGAAGGAGAAAGAACAAATATCAAGAACACGGTGCAAGAAAGTATTGTTGGAGAAGTAGAAGAAAATTATGAAGATATATCACATGTACAAAACAATGAAGAGTTTCAGGTAGAAACTGAAAAAGCTGATTTATTCAGACAAAATCAGACATGGTCCCAAAGACGAATTTTCTTCAAACTATAGGATGATATTTGATTTCAAAAGGTGCGAAACATCTTCTGGAAAGATTTATTGAATTATTCTTACATCTCCATTCATTTTATTCCAATTTCCTCATATAACCAAAAGGAGAATATTGTTAACCTTTGTCCGATTTCCAGATTATCGTAAGCTCCACTGTTTTTATTTTTCGTTGTTTTCAATTCTTGCCGTGTTACCCCGCGGGAGAATCGAAAAGCTTTTTATCCCCGGGTCTCTTTGTACCTACTTACTAAAAACGAGAAGCTCTGGGCGTCGTGTATTCCGACCACGCAGTAGTTTGTGAGATAAAAAGAAAAGCGGCTCCAGAGAGTGGGACCCCTTCGATAATACCTTACTATAGTAAGTTAGAGCCCCCTTTAATCGATCAAACTTTTACGACGACACCGCGGATTATTCTCTGGTTAAAAAATGGATGAAAAGTTGAGTGGGTATTATTAGAGCGGATATAGTTTCTCTATAAACGAGAAATAAAACTGGATTCCCAATTAAGACTTTTCAGCTTTCAAGCTTTTTCTCAAAGGAAGGTAGGTATAAAACATCATGTAGGTACTTATTTTGCAACTTTTATCCAAACAATTATATACAAAATTAGAATCTATGATTAAAATTAACTCCGACACGTTTGTCCAAGTTTTGACTGCCTCCCGGGCCTCCGAAATGGTGAGTAGCGCCACCTCCGACATTCAAAGTAGACTCGCCAAATCGGTTTTTGTTTGACCAAACCGGTACTCTACCATCTACACTTAAAGTGTGTCCATAACCGTTGGCGTGACCATAACCAACACTTCCTCCGGATCCTGGAAATTACAATAGAATTTATCTAAAAATCTTGGAAATTTGAATTAGGTAATTACCATTGGGATTGTTGAATCCAGCAAAACCACCTTGAGTTTTTCCGTTGCCGCCGCCTTGTCCAAATCCTTGAGCTTGTCTATACATCAAAAAATATTAATTACTATTGACAACAAATATTTCAACTAAAAAGTACCTTCTTTCACGACTTAATACTGGTGTCAAATAGTACTGCTGGCCTTCTTCATCTTCAACAATGACCGACGGTACTGCCAAAACTGCGGCAGCTACTGCCAAAAGGACAAAACTGAAAAGTTGCACTTGCATTTTGTTATTTCAAAGCACGTTTGACGGTTTGAGACTGATACTTACATCTCGGCAAGGTACGACTTATATAGTTCTCGGTCGGTACTGGTAATTCACAGTACGCAGAAAATCCCCGAAGCCCAAAATATGAAATCATGTATACGCATAAATTTTATTGGAATTAAGGTCAGAGTTGAGCTTTTGTTTGATAAAAAAATTATTTCAATGTTGTGATGATTGATGTTTAAAATATGTATAATAATGTATTGGGAACAAACTCTATTTTTCTATTTTCTCAAGTGGCTGTACTGCAAAGTAAGCAAACGGAGTCGTTCAATACAGGTAATTTATGGGTTTAAACGACCAAATTTAGTAAATCTTTAGGAAAGCTTGAGCGGAATATAAATAGGGGCAATTTACATTTTTCTTTTTTTGCCGGAAAACAATGAATTTGAGTTGTTGTGTTATTTTGTTTGTCTATAAGACCCAGAAAAACCTCAACAAACTTGACGTTATGCGTTATATGTCGATGTAATTTATTAATTTTCACTTTTCTGAGTGCCTTTTTTCATAGATTTCGGCTCCAAATTCCAGAATAATTCAGTGTGTGGAGTTTGATGGATCCGAAAGCATCATTGAGACACAAAATCTCAACATAAAAAAATTTGAAATTTCATCATTTTAGTACTAAGGTAGAACTACCTGATGATTTTGATCTCTAAAAAAATTGAAAGATCATAACTTTTCTTATATTAGAGATAGAAAGCTGAAGTTTTCAACATTTTTTATCTTAGTAGAGGAAGGACTACAACCCCTGAAAATTTTAGCTCATTTGGACTTTGGACCTATAGTTTCAGAAATAGAATCTATACCGCACACACATTTCAACCGCATACGTGCTAAAAAGTACCTACTACTTTCTGCATCACAAATCTGTATATTTTTGGGTAAAATATATCATGAATCATGAATTTTGTATTTTTAGTAGGAAGGTACCTAAGCCTTGATAGTTTAGAACAACTTAAATTTATAAATTTCATCAGTGACATCAAAAAAAAAATATATTTAACAATTATGATAAGTCACGATTATCGAGACTGGTAATTCACTGTCTGCGAAAAGTCCCGTCTTGTTTGCTTTTATTTGTTCGCGGTTCATTAACACTTTACAAATAAGATTACAGATTAGGTACCTACCAGTGAATTTTTAATGGGGATTTCTTTGAGCTAATTTTAGTATTTGATTATGTATTTATATACCTATTAATTATACAGAACGTTATTGAATGAATTTTAATGAAAAGGGACACAACATAATGTTAGATTTGGTTTAGAAGAAAAATTTATGTAGGTACCTATTCAAAGTAATTTCCTTCAAAAATAGAAAACTACAAGAATGCGACAATTTTAAAAACAAGTTTTTTTCTCCAAGGAGGAAAAGTTATTTTTTTACGCTTGCTGTTTTCTCACCTCAATAGTACAAAATTTTTTTTATCAAATTTATCTGTCTACTTCTTTTTTTTTGTCTCAATATTTGTCTCTACAATTATTACCACGCAGAATATGGAAATTTTTCAACAAATGAGTCCTATTGAAATTCTTCGACAAAGATTTTCTATGAGCTCTTTCACAGAAATCACGACTCTACCAGTTTCCACAATAATCACAAGATACTCTTTTGTTGTATTTTAGAATTGTGAGGAACTTTCTCAGTAATCTCAAGATTCCAGAGTCTTTTTTGATTGTATTTCAGCTATTGCTAGGGTCAAAAATTCTCTAAAATGATTAGAAAATAGGGTTAGTTGAATTTTGGCTCTAGTCTTCTAAATTCAGAAATTTTGATTATTACCAATGATTAAGTCTTTGTAGGTTATTCCACAAACAGAATAATTATTCTTAGCTCAATAAGTTTTTAAAAATTATTGATCAAGAAATACTTAAGTATGCATAAAACTTCTTATCTCAAGAAGAACGAATCCATATCGGTCATATTAACGCAATGGTAAACAGGGATTTCCTTTGATTGGTAAATTACAGTATCAAATAATGAAATCAAGTACTATATAAGTAGTACCACACAAATGTAAAATCATCAGTAGCAAGCAGTACCTACCTACAAGCAAAAGAAGACACAAAATGCAATCTCAACTCTTCAGTTTTGTTCTCTTGGCAGTATTTGCCGCAACTTTGGCAGTACCGTCGGTTATTGTCGAAGATCAAGAAGGCCAGCAGTACTATTTGACACCAGTATTGAGTCGTGAAAGAAGGTAAAATTTATTTTTCTGTAAATTGTTTCTAATATTATTGTTGACAGGCAAGCTCAAATATTTGGACAAGGCGGCGGTAACGGAAAAGTCCAAAGCGGTTTTGCTGGATTTAACAATCCCAATGGTGAGTACCTACCTTAAAGTTGTAGCCGAATTCTAAAAATGCTTTTGTCAATTTTCAGGATCCGGCGGTAGTATTGGTTATGGACACGCCAACGGTTATGGACACACTGTAAGCGTAGATGGTAGAGTACCAGTTTGGTCGAACAAAAACAGATTTGGAGAGTCTACTTTGAATGTTGGAGCAGGTACCACTCATCATTTCGGAGGTCCAGGAGGCAGTCACAATTTAGACAAACGAGTGGGAATTAATTTCAACCATAGATTTTAGTTAGTTTATAAATAATTCGTCAATAAAGAAAAACTAATTATTAAATTACTGTAGCCGAAATTAGCACTACTCAGAATCTGATCACTTTACCGGCCAATCAAAACTCTTTTGCCGCTTGAAAGTAATACGTACCGTTTCAAGATTTTTCTAAATTTCTCAAGACTTTGATCGATAATTTGCCAGCTAGATTATTCCTTTAAGGTCAAACTTGTCCAATATTCCAGTCACCGGAAATACAGAATAATAGCAATTAGTATGGCGTGATACTTTAATAAATCAAGCTTTGTTTATGCAAATGACAGGAAATTGAAAACAAAATGGAAGCCGAATAAATTTCGTATATATAGAACATAAATACATATAAAAACAGTCAAATCAATCATAGTTAAAGCCATGCTAAAAACATTTCTCGAATAAATAACTCATTTAAAATACGTTTTTGGTTTTAATTATTGCAAATTAATGTCCTAAATTTTATCGAAAAGTTCCAGCCAGATTGTACGTGCACTTTTAGAGAGACAGAGAGAGAGGGTTACATGAAGTTGGAAACTTAAGCTGTATAACAGTTATTAGATAATTTGCATCGAAATGAGACATTTTCTAACAAAGTTTAGAGACCGTGGCGTTTCGGGGCTTTATACCAACGACCAGATTTATAATTTCAAACTGTATCAATTAAACAGAACAAAATATGGACAGATGAAATCCTCTATATATACTGAAAGCAAAAGTTTTGTATATTTTATAGGCCCAATTTTGTGTTTACTACTTTTCCGAACAAGATAAATCCTTTGAAAGGGAAAGGTATTATTAGTTCTTTTGTTCCTTGCTATCCCTCGGGAATACTGGAAGATCCTCGGACCTTATGGATTGGAAGTTTCAGGTTGTATCTTTAGGGAATGATACCTAATATTGGATTTTGTTAATGACTCTTAAATCTTACTGAAATCAGCTTGAATAAAGCTATATACAGGGTGTATCAGGTTTGACTACAAAAATTTTAACACGTGAAAATATAACCCATTTTGAACAAAAAAAGTTTACACATGAGGTCCAAAGTCAACCATTTTCGAGAAAAAGGCCTGTTAAGTTTTGAAATTTTTTAACGAATATTTTAAAGGTAAAGAAAATTTCGATCATTATGAGATGTAGAAAAATTTAGTTTATCCAATTATTAAGTAATTATACATTTTTAGTCAGCAACAATAACAAAAAATTGAAAAAACAGCATACAAATTTTACTTGTAAAAGGGTATCTAAACATCTGGCAACACAGCACAATAAAAAATAGGTGGTTGAAAGTTGAACCTTGGTGGAGCTGAATAAATTGATTCTTGATTTGTCTAGTTGAGAAACGCGCGTAATTTAAATTCATTCTTTTTTGAAAATAAAATGTTTAGAAACATCGAATATGCCTTGTTTAGGCAGAAACGTTGAAAAATGCTCATTTAGCTGCCAGAATTTACAAGGAAACTAGGGAAAGATTTCCCAAAAGAAAAGCACCCACCTGATGAAAGAACATTGTGCCCGTTTTACAACGATTGCGTGATACAGGGAGTGCGAGTTGTGAGTGTACAAAATCTGCGTGTTGATTTTAGAGTTTTGAGAACCTTTTAACAAAAATTAATATTTTCATAATACGGATTTGACAAGTAGCTGAGTAAGTATTATTTGATTTTTCTCTTGAATGTTTAGTGCAAAAATGTCATTGAGTACAATTCACAACTTAATAAAACGGCACATTTTTTATTTTTACTAGAAAATTGATAAAAATGCAAGTTATTATTTACATTATTTGAAAGCCAGTTATATTAACCAATTGCCATGCTGATCTATAATCAATTATCTATTTTTTATATGCTTTAATGTGCTTACCCCTTTCCTCTAGGACTTTTTAAATACATTGTTGTAAAGTAAACATCAAATTGCTATGTCGGCATTAAATGATTATTTAAGCCGATGCAGTCCCATAAGGAACGTTCATTTGTTTTCTGGCTTTAGCCTGTAGCAATTTGATCCGAATATTTTCTTTTGTCACCTCTGTATTTTAATCAATAAAATAAATGTTTTTTAAAATACAAGTTTCTGAATCGAAAATATAATTGGCGCAGTCGTTCGGATGCTCAGAGTGCTTAAGTTTCGGGAGTTGTAACAGTCGTAATCCGTCGCGAAAATTTCAAAAGACTGAAGGAAGTTCGAAAAAGTGAATTCTTCGGAAAAGTGAAATTTGGATTATCAGTGCTGCTATTAAACGTTCCAGATACTGTCCACTTCGAATTGGTTAACTGAGTAACAAGACACAACGTGTGAAGAGTGACTACTGTTATTAGCTTTGCCTAGTAAGTACAACCTTTCTCTTTATACATTTTGTTATTGGTGTTCCATAGTTAAGATTTTTGGATTTTTGATCTTTTGTAATTTCTAATTTTTGATTTACTGAGAAGACTTAAATTCAGATTTTTGTTCTTTTGCAATTCCAAAACGGTTTGCTGAAAAGACTGAAATCAAAAAATAAAGAGTAATAACGAATTTACAAACCCACAACAACTTTTAATTTTTAAGAAAAAGCAACGCACAAGACTGATTAATTAATTATAATTTTAATTTCAATAAAACTTTTTAATTTTGAATTTTTTTAAATTTTCAAAATAATTTCTTTTAAAAATTCAAAGAAATATATATGTCAGATTCTGAAGAAGAAATCGAGAATCTTTTGACTCAATTTAATTTAACTCATCTTTACAATTCTAATTCGAGAAGTAACAACCAAAATCAAAGACTAACCGTAACAATGAGTGAAAATTTAAAATCAATTGTACAACTTATCAAACCTTTCAGTGGCGAAAGCCAATATTTAGAATATTTCATAAGAAATATCAATGAATTCTATCAAACTTACTATACTGGTGAAAATGCTCAAAAAGAGTATGTGGTTACCGCCATAAAATCAAAATAAATAAGTGACGCAGGAAATTTTCTTATGGCACGTCCTGATTTACAAACATGGACCGATATAAGAGAAGCGTTAAGAATTAAGTATGGTGATCAATATTCTAGACAGAATTTGGTACAAGAGCTTATGTATACCACTAAAACTAATAAAGAAACTATTATTGAGTATTTGGATAAACTAAAAGGTTTAGTTCAAAGAATTACATCTAAAATCATGTGCGACCCGAATTTAACGGCAGTTGCAAATGTTTTAATTGAACAAAACGAAATTATTGCTATTCAAAATCTAGTCACTAATTCGCCAACCGAATTAAGAACAATTTTAATGGTTCAAAATCCACAAACGTTGGATGCAGCTAACAAATTTGTGTTAAATTATCAACTAGCTGAAAACCACATGAAATTTAGTAGAGGACTTACTCATTCTACTAACCAAAATCAAAATCAAAATTTTTCAAATTTCAAAAATAAAAATACGCAATTTCGTTCACAACAATCACAACAAACCTATACTCAACAAAAATCTCAATATACACAAAAAAACATCGTATGTACCACAGAAACCACAGTTTCCATCCCAACCTATTAATATACAACCTAAAAAGGACTATGTACCAACAAAATTTCCTACTAGTTCAGGAACTTTTGGCAAAAACTACAATAATGCCTTTCGAAAAAACACTAATCAACAATTTTCGAAACCCACACATATGTCCGGTGTTTCAGTGCAACCAAGAGCACAAAATCAACATCAATACCCTTCTAAATATACAATCGAAGAAATTAATAATATCTTTGAAATCGAATTGCTTGAACCTGATGAAAATTTCGAAAATGACGAATGTTCTGAAAATCAAAACTATTATGAAGAGACAAATTTTGAAGAAAATCAAGTCGCAACTGAAGACGAAAATTTTCAGTTAAAAGCCTTGAATGCAATGAGTCAGCATTAACTTTAAATGCTTATCAAATCAACCAACTGCCTTTTATTCAAATAGACTATCCACCGTGTAAATTATTAATTGACACAGGAAGTCATGCCTCTTTAATAAGACCCTCAATAGCAGAAGAATATTTTTCAAATTCTATAATTAATTCACGAAATAAATTAACCACTTGCATGGGTACAAGAAAAACGTATGGAAAAATCAATATCCCAATTTTACAAGAATATAATATTCAAAACAACATTGAAATGATAATGTATAATTTCCATGACTAATTTGATGGAATTATTGGAATCAAAGCATTACAAGATAATAATTTAAATATAGATTTTTCTAATATGCTTCTTTCTAATAATAAAACAACAATTCCGTTTCAATATAGAACAGATTTCGAAAATCAAAATTTTGAGATTCCAAGCAACTCAATTCAAGTATGTTATTTCAATACAAATATAGCTGATGGCATTGAAATACTTACACCACCGATAAAAAATGCAACGTATTATATACCATCGACAATAGCCACAGTCATAAACGAGACCGTAGCTCTAGAAGTACATAACTTAATGAATAAGCCTATTATTGTCCCATATAACATAAACAACTTAGCGGAAATAAGTTTACCTTACGCTGACGAACAGTTTGAGATATTTAATATAGAGCAAATGACTTTATTAGAAAATGCTGAATATGCAAGTGACCCCATTAAGTCGTTGCGTATTAATCATTTAAACTCAGAGGAATTTGATGCTTTAAAACACGTAATTAAATCTTTTCCTAAAATTTTCCACAAGCCAAATGAAAAATTGACATTTACCAATCAAGTCAAACATGAGATTAAAACAACGGATGAAATACCAGTGCACACAAAAACGTATAGATACCTACATGTGCATAAACAAGAAGTAAATTCTCAAATAAAGAAAATGTTAGAAGATAACATAATCAGACCATCCTGTAGCCCTTGGTCATCCCCTGTGTGGATAGTACCTAAGAAAGAAGATGCCGCAGGCATACAAAAATGGAGAATGGTCGTTGATTATCGAAAGATAAACGAAAAAACTATTGATGATAGATATCCATTACCTAATATTACGGATATATTAGACCGACTTGGTCGTAGTAATTATTTTACGACACTAGATCTAGCCTCTGGCTTTCATCAAGTCGAGATGCATGAAAATTCGATACCCAAAACAGCATTTAATGTTGAAAATGGTCATTACGAATTTAACAGAATGCCCTTTGGTTTGAAAAACGCCCCAGCGACATTCCAGAGAGTGATGGATAATGTATTACTAGGATTACAGAATAGAATATGTCTAGTATACATGGATGATATAATAATTTTTTCCACTTCACTTCATGAACACGTGAAAAATCTAAAGAAAGTATTTGAGAGACTTGAAAAGTTTAATTTAAAAATACAATTAGACAAATCAGAATTCCTACACAAGACAGTCGAATTCTTAGGACACGTAATTACACCAAATGGAATAAAACCGAATCCAAAAAAAATAATGGCAATAAAAAAA